ACTTTTTGAAGAAAATCTAAGACTTTTAAGTGCGCCTTATGGTCGTGAAAATACGGTAGGTTTACAAGATGGTAGTAAGACCTGCTATGACCTATGTTTGGAAACAGCGGCATTGACAAGAAGACGAGGAAGAAAAGGGGAAAACTACCGAGGGTTTGTGTAAGTTCTCAGTCATGCAGGTCGTGGTAGTCTGGAATTTTAAAAAACTAAGGAAACTGGACTTCTTTAGGTTTGTGAAGACATTTCAGGTCTCATCCAAGAAGCTTCTTCTTGGATGAGACCTTATAAAAACAGCTGGTGAAGAGTCCCAGTTATTTATCTGAGGTATTTACTGAGGTTGTGAAGGTGGTTCTGAGGGCTGTTGATCCACTGTTGATCAGGTGTGTCATCACATGAGCCAAGGTGTGGAAAAAGACAGGAAAAAAGGCAGAAGAACTTTGGATGGAGTAGTTCATCCCAAGCACAAAACTCAAACACAGCCTAAGCAGCACAGTGTATGCTGTGCAGTGCTGTGAGCAGTGCTTGGACCTCTGCATAGGAGAAACCAAACAGCTGCTCCACAAAAACTTAGCACATTATAGAAGAGCCACCACAACAGGATAGATGTACACGTCTGTACAGATGCCATTAAAGAACAATGGTCCCTCTTTCAAGGATGCCAGGGTCCACAATATGGACTGAGGACACAGATGGTTTAGAGGGGAGTAGAGTAAATGGTAAATGTACTGACTCTTATGTAGAGGGACTCCATCTCCATTCACTGTGAGCAACCAGGCACGACCCCCGCTATCAAATACTCTAAAGATCACTTCCAGGTGCCTTGGCTCACATGATCAATGTTGGGTCAGCCACTCTCAGGGCCACCTCCTCTCAGGGCCACCTCCTCTCAGGGCCACCACTAGGAATTCAACAGCTGGGACTCTCCACCATTTGTTTTTATATCTGAAGAAGTCCATCGGATGAGAGCTGAAATGTCTTCACAAACATAAAAATAAGTCCAGTTGCCTTCTTTTTCAAGCTCTCAAGAAAACCACAGAGTAGAAACGTGAATGTAGTGTGACAGACGAGACGGTAGGAACGGACTGCAATGGAGTCATGCTCCGCTGTGGCTACCCCTGAAGGGGGAAGCCCGAAGCCCCTCCCTGAGCCTGGTTCTGTTGTTTTCCCTTCCCACTGTTGCCAAAGTGCTTGCTCAATAAAATTGAATTGAATTAAAGATGAAGGTAGTAGGAACTTTACCCTATAACTGATATTTTTCTGATATTCAGATATATACATGCTCCATAATATTGGACCATCTTCCTCAATAAGGTTTTTGCCTTATTTATTTGTTTGTGTTTCTGCTTTTAAGATTATGAATCATAATCTTTGTCTTATACAAACACCCACTATGAGCCAAATGGCAATCCTGTTAATGATATTTTATGTCCTTTGCAGATGGAAAATGGCTGCGTGCTAAACAGTACTTACCCAGGAGGTTGTGCCCTGCCTAACAGGAATGGATCTGTGCCTCCTACTATCCAGGTACCCAGCCCTGAGACGTTGCCTACACTTCCAGACCCACCAGCCACCGGCTTCTACCTCTGACCATCTGACCAGGGACAGTCATGTAGCAGGACACTGTGAATGGCCAGAAACATCCAGTGACTGGACCAGCCTTATACATCTACACACCACAACAAACAAAGCTGGAGAAACGTAGGCCGACATCTGTGTTGTCTGTTTTTGTCCTTTCATTTTGACTTTGTAATGTTGTGTCAGGGGAGGGGATCACCGAGTTATATTTTAAGTCATATTATCATATGAGTTCTTTGTTTACACTAATGCAGTTAAGAGCGCTTAGCTTGTTTTATTAAGTAAATATGAATTATTGGAGGCTGGGTTTTAGAAATCTGCATTCAGATACACCGTAAAACCAATGTGTTCTCATCCCAGGACATCAGATTCTGCCGTGCTGTCTTAGTATTGGTACTTTAATGCACCAGCATGGCTTCATTAGACACTGAGAACCAAGAAATCTGTTTTCAAGAGGAATTTACAAGTTAGCCAGCCAGTCTGTGGTTTATGTCCTCTTCAGGAGTCTGTGGTTTGCACTTTCATTACACTCAGTGATTCTTTGCCTATTCATTTCATACACATTATTCAGACTGAATCTACAGTTATATGGACCAAGAATTTGGCCACATCTCCTAATCTTAGAATTCAGGTGTTTTCAGCCCCATTTCCAGGGGTGTATAAAATAAAGCACCGAGTCATGCAGTCTGTCTTTACAACCATTTATGAAAGAATGGGTCATTATAAGGAGACACTGATTTTTTGCATGGCACTGTAAAAGGATGCTACTACTGCAGCAAGTCGGCTAGTGCAATTTCTTCCCTCCTTCCTACATAGATTTTATGATCAATTTTAAGGAGTTTTATTATTATTATTAAGTGGAAGCTTTTAGCAGCCGGAGCAGGTCAGCCACTAATGTGCCGTTACAGTGCTAAGGCATACAGTGTGTAAAAGTGTAAAGTCACTGATTTGCTTACTCAGTAACTCCGGCATTAATGTAAGCACAAAAACTGTGGCATGTGTTTCCATGGCTCCTGTAGGTTTACTGTGTAGGTGCTCCAGTACTAGATTATCCATGTAGAGTCTGTTATGTAAAAAAGGTCTGATCCATCCATCTATCCATCCATTTTCTGCCCATCTCTGCCCAGACCACCCTCCTCCAGCACCTCAATTCAATTTTATTCATACATCCTCAAATCACAACAAGATTCAAGTCAGTGCACTTTATTCTAATCCCCAACAATCATATGACCCCCTACAAGCAAGCGCTTTGGCAACAGTGGGAAGGAAAAACTCCCTTTTAACAGGAAGAAACCTCCAGCAGAACCAGGCTCAGGGAGGGGCGGGGCCATCTGCTGAGATCGGTTAGGGTGAGACACCAAGGTGTTTCCAAGAAATGTAATTTCTCCAGAGCATCGTGGATCTTCCCAGGGCCTCCTTCCAATGGGACATGCACTGAACATCTTGAGCATCCTGGTCAGATGCCTTAAGAGGGCAGTGGCTCTATTCCTGCTTTTTCCTGAATGGCAGAGTTCCTCACTCTATCTCCAAGGCTGAGCCTAGGCTCCCTTCAGAGAAAGCTCATTTCTATGTTGTATCTGTGACCTCATTCTTACGGACATGAGGTCACAGAGCTTGTGATTTAGGTGAACGTAAGGGCGTAGCTATAATTCAACAGCTTTGCTTTTACACTCAGCTTTCCCCTTACCATGACAGACCAGTACAGCATCTGCATCACTGTAGATGCTTCTCGAGCCTGTCAATCCAATCTCTTGGTCCACTCCCCCCTAAATCATGAACAAGACCCTAAGATCTGTAACTGCTCTACCAGGGGTAGTAACTCGTTCCCATCCCAGAGAGCCCTTTTCAGTCTGAGGACCATGGTCTTGAATTTTGAAACACCATTTCTTATCCCAGTTTCATCACACGTGGTTGTGAACCACTCCGGTGTGAGTTGGAGAATCTCAAGATCCTGTGACCACCACACCAGACCTCTTGGCTGCACCTAGAAATTTCGTCCATGGAAATTATGGACGAAATCGTGACAAACGACAGCAGTCCCTTTGTTCAACAGTCACAAAGAACGAGTCTGACTTATTGCCAACAATGGGAACTGGGCTCTGGTAATGGTTGTACTGGTTAGGCCACAGCAATGGGCCTGATACAATATACTCCCAAAGCATCTCCAACAGAACACACGGTTGAATGCCTTCTTCAAGTCCCCAGAACTCATATAGACTGTTTGGGAACTCCCATGCATCCTCAAACATCCTTGAGAAAATAAAGCGCTGATCCATGATCAGGATGAAAACCACCTCATGAATCTAAGGTTCCACTAACAGGCAGACGAAGTACCCAGGCTGAGGCTGAGAAGCATGAGCATCCTAAAGTTGGACCACACTTTGTGGACCCAGTCCTTGAAGATGGGAACCACCACCACCCCAGTCTTCCAGTCCAGAGGCACTGTCTCTGACTGCAACACAATGTTGCAGAGGTGTGTCAGCTATGACAGCACCACAACAGAGCCTGAGCCTTGACAAACTACCTCAGTGACCTTACTCCCAGTCCTCTTATTCTACAAGAAGCCATGTCAGTGGGATTGAGGAGATTCTTTGATGTGTTAGTTCAACTGTCCTCTGTTGAGGTCAGCATCCCCACTATAGTCCCATCCCCATTATATACAGTGTGGATGGAAACTGCTTTCCCCTGACAGTTTGCCAGGCCAACCGAAAGGCTTCTTCCATGGCCTCTCTTCTCCCATACTGAGTTTTTGCCTTGGCTACTGTCAGAGCTGCACTCTGGTTGGCCTGCTGGTACACCTGTTCCATGTACTCAAAACCAGTTTCAGTAACCAGGGATCAGACCCCCACATCCTTCCTCTTCTGTCTAACCTATGATTGCTGTGTTGTAGAATGCACAATCAGACAGGTTTTACATCATCTGTTTGAATGTAGGAAAAGCTAGAGGAGCTCTGGAAACCTTTATATCTCTGATAAATGCAGTTCTTTTCTGGTGATATGTTTATTGTTTCGTGTGATCTTTCCTAATATGACTGTGGTTTGCTTTGCTTTGTATCTGAATGCACCATACAAACGCGTGATTACAGGTGTTGGTACAGTTAAGTTTTGCTCATGCTACAGGAATGTACTTGTTAAGTGTTTATTGATTTCTTTGTTGAATGATTTTCAACAATGAGATTAATCCATATACATTTGAAAAAAAGTATAGAACATGAGAATTATTTCTAGAACTATCCTGCACTTTATTTCTTAAACCCACCTGATGCACACTGGTAGTGAAGGACACTGGGGGGTGGAAACCCTGATTTATGGGGTTCTTCCCATTTCTGACACGGTCTTATTTTGCTATACACTTCAAATGATGAGTCCTCACAAGCACAAACATGTCATGTTAGTGTAATCATTTTTATTTTTCTCCACTTGAATTGTTTGTTTCTTGTTGATTATTTTGACATTGAATTGAACCTCTCAAAGATTCGTTTTTTTATATGTGGTCACTGTTACAAGTTTACCTGACTCATTTGGAAGAAACCCCTTGTGTATTTCTCTATATATCAATGTCCTATGGGAAGTTCCTGATTGTTTGGACGTCCATATGTAAGATATTGTCTCTACCTAGGCTGCACTTACCCCTTCCTCCCTGCTCTCACCTGCTCCATAACATCTACTATACTATACTATGTACAAATGGAAAACTCACGATTTTAAGGGCAGAGCCTGATATCTTCATCTTGATATCATCTTGTTGTCAAACCAACCTAAAATGTGAAATATAGTCATTGACACGGGTGACAAATTAAAGGAAAAATTGACACCTGTAATGTGGGGATTATCGGGCATAAGGGAAGCCTCACATGTACAACCTGTTGCTCTTAAACCCTTAAATTCTAAGTGAATCAGACACTGCTGTCATTGGATAGTCCAGACAGACGGCTTCACTGTGCATGAAATCAGACAGAATTTACACATGGATGAATATAAATGGATTAGTGTGTTTCAGAAATTTGCCATCCTGCTAATAGTAGTCTATATGTGAAGTGTACATGTGTGGTGTGGTTGTTACGGTTATATTCAAGTAAATTAATGAACAATTACATTGAAATGTGCATTTGCTATAATTAGCACCAAATTGTGAACAAATTTCAGTAAGAGATCTTCTGTAAACAGAGCCACGTCATAATCTGCTCATTTACAGACGTTGTTGTTGCGTTAGACTGTTTGTACTGTGGAAGTTATATCAGTATTCAACCATGTTTTTGGGGTATTTACATATAACATAGTGAAGACACAAGGAGTTAGCTGGGGCCCCGGAGAAAACAGCAAACATAAAATAAGAGTGAATAAATCTAAACTACAGGCAAAAAGATTATGGATACAAATGCTCTTTTATTCACTGGGTAGGCAAAAACTGTAACTCATCAGTAAAGCTGCTTTTGTGTATGTGTATATGTGACAATCTCTACATGCAACAATAGAAATACGTGTTCTGTAGTAGAAATAGAAAATAAAAAACATCAGAGAAATAGGATGGACTGCTTCCATCAAGCCATAGTCCACCAGATGAATACAAAGTAGCTCTGAGTGATTCAATTCAATTTTATTTATATAGCGCCAAATCACAACAGTCGCCTCAAGGCGCTTCATAGATACAGAGAAAAACCCAACAATCATATGACCCCCTATGAGCAAGCACTTTGG